GGCGCCGCCCGTCAGAAACATGTGACGGACCTCCAAGTGGCCCTAGAAGAAATGCACCGCAACGTGGCGGTGCGAAGCGACAAGTTGCGTCAGCAAGCGCGTGGACGCCGCGACCGAAAGTCTCAAGTCAAGTTTGCGGGTTTTTCGGTCGGCGATTTTGTGCTTGTCGGATCGGTCGTCAGCCGTCCGACAAAATTGGCCCTGCATTGGCGAGGACCCTGCCTAGTGACCAGAGTCATCACGGACCATGTGATGGAGACTCAGCAGCTGGTGCCACCGTATGAAATCACAGTCCATAATGCATGCCGACTGAAGATGTACCACGAAGGTGGTAGAGAGGTGACCGAAGACCTCGAGGCGCAGATCGCGTTTGGCGATGGCGGATTTCATGTGGAGCGCCTGGACGAAGCGCGCTGCGTGGATGGCCAACACCAAGTTTTGGTGAAGTGGCTTGGACTTGACGATGAAGAATCGTCCTGGGAACCTGCGACGATTTTGCTGGACAACATTCCAGTCGTATTTTGCAAGTGGGTGGCGGCGAACAAGGAAGACCCTGCCGTGGCCGCCCTCATCAAGACACTAGACTTCCCGTAGGAGGGGAAGTGTTCTGCAGCGTGAAGAGCAATTGGGTTGCGCGTTAGTTTGACCCATTGCAAACACACACGCATGTCAAAGGTTCCGATACCTTAGTGGAGGTACTGAGTACTTTAGGGAGTGGTAGTCAGTAGGCGCCTCGTGGCGTGTTTAACCTCACTAATATCAGTGTGTATATTTGCTGCCTTGACGAAGGTCCCGTGGCCGAAAGCCAAGAAGAAGCGGGAGACAATACATACAGTCACTATGGCGAGCCTCTAGCCTAAACGACACAGGACTCCGACCGTTTTGTTCGGGAAAACCGCAATGGACTGCCGTTAAGCGACAACGAATTCAAGATCACTCGAGCATTCATGACGATCGAGTGATCTTGAATGTATTCCCGCTTTACTCGTGCGTTAACTATTGTGAGTTCACTATTGTCGTGGTCGTTGTGTGTCATCGCCCTTTGCAAACCAACTGTACAACAGAAATGGTGCTATAAATTTTAGCTCAAGATGACAATAATTGTTTGTCATCTTTACGCTATATTTGAAGTTTACGCCAAAATGTTGTCTTTTATGTGCTGTTTCATAGTTCAGAGATCGCCGATCAACGCAAGAACATGGTATCATGTACAGCAGCATTGATACTACGTAATGAAGCGGCTTGGTCGGTGTTACGATGGTTATTGCGGGATATAATCACACCCAAAGTAAGCTATATTTCAGTTTTTTGGCATGTTTGAGGTCACTTCACGCATGATAAATAAGTGCAATCGCCACACATCACGTCTCGTTATACAGCCCGAAGCCATCTCTTCAGTTTTCATATTAAATGTATCACGCCCAGACAAGCCGTTGCTGAGCAATTCAACGACAAAGTCATGTACTTTCTCGATAGTTAAAATTATCATAAATTATGACAAACATTGATGCTAACTTATTATGACATACAGTACTTATTTTATATTGAAAATAAGTAACGGTATTCTCGTGGAATGTACTACGTAGTACCGGTAGTGGATACTTTTCCAAAAAGCATCGTAACTGGCGGCCAAAATTTGAAGTCCATACTACGTATACATTTTGAACAGCGAATCGAATACAAAGTCGCCTTGCACCAAAACTCAGGACGTTCGGCCAAATTCGACGATGTTTATCGTGTCCGAATAATGCTGGTTTGACGATGTTTATCGTCCCAAATCAAGGTAAAAATGTACTTCGAAGTATGTTTCATGCCATTAACCGGATCATAGGTCGATTGTAAATACCCTAAACAGCCAAGTGGCCAATACCTTTCGAATTCAATTTTATAGGCATAAAACTGTTTTATACAAACAAATCAAAATTAGGAGGGGGTCACAAAAACAACCAGAGTATAATTATGGCAAAAAGAAATGGTCGAAGCTAGGCTCGAAACGCGGACTATGTCGTCTGCAACTTGGAATCAAACCGACACACTAACGATGCACCTTGCTCTACAATGGTATTTAACTATTATAGTACAAGATTCGTGGCAACCAATTGGGGACACCTACATAGTGTAGGACCGTGCTGTGGAAGTGTAACCTCACATGTTTGCCGCCCTAGTGTGAACCCTTAACCCTTAATAGAGCAGGAGTCATTACTACCTGTACTACCTGTAGAATATATTGTGGTAGCCACATTCGACTATGGAGTAGATAGGCTTACAGTAGTATGATGAGCATTGAAAGCTGACCTTGGGGAGGGCACTCGATTGACTATAAGTGTTGTGTCTGCCGGTCCTGAACTGGCAGTGACTCCTTTAGAACTCGATGCACCGGGTTCAAAGGTAAAAGAAGACTGACTATGTTAAAGGTCTTAGATCTACTGATTCACAACGCACATTTGCATCCCCTATCGAGCTGTCTTCGGTCGTGTCGACAGATCCTTGACCAATGGGAATGGAGTGCGCTTGCAAGGATACTACCTGTGTCTTGCTAAGATACTCCACACCCAACAACTCCCCCATGGTCTACACGACGTCTGGGTGCGAGATAGCGAGCACCGTCTTGAGCTTGGCGACGTTGCCGTTCCCGCGGCTCGCTTTGCGTAGATAGGCGGCCACAATGACTGGCACGTCCGTTGCCATGTCTGCCGCCGGTTCCCACGAGGCCTCGAGGATATCTATCCCAAGCCACTTGACGCGGAGCATCCACGAGTGGGTCGGCCGGTCGAAGCGGCAGTCGAGGAAGCACTCAACAAGGTGGCCGCCCTCGACGTATGCGACGTGATCTGTCAACGCCTGCGTTACAAGCAAGTCGCGGGCGGCAAAGAACTTGAGACGCGAAGCATGGTGCGTCGTGATGGCGCCATTGCGCAGGTCCTCGACGCGGTAGACCCAGTCGCGTACGATTGTCACAATCCGACGCGGCCCGAGCCATTGCACTTGAAGTTTCTTGGCGAATGCCTCTGAAACTTGGCCGACTAGAACATAATCTCCGAGGTTAAAGAAGAATTGTTTTACGTTGGGCTTCTTGTTGCGTCTCGCACGCTCGTTGTCCCGGAG